AAGCAAACCCCTCCTTCAATCAGTTTAATTCAAGTGTGTGTGTGTGTGTGTGTGTGTGTGTGTGTGTGTGGCAGGGAGCGGTGTAGTGTGTACTTCCCATTACTCCTTTCTTAAAATTCATTCTTTTTCATTTGATTTTGAGAGCCAAGTAATGTATAATGCATTTATGCATTCTTATAAAAAATTTAAATGGTACTGTAAATAAAAGTTCCACAGGACTCTTCTAAGGGACAAAAGAGAGTTTTATTCTGATATGATTTGCAAATCAGAGAATGTAGACTTCAGCATGAACCAAAGACACAGTCTAGGATGGGAAGAATAAGGCAAGGGTTTTAAAGGTAAGAGTTGTGAGGAGTTGCTGATCAAAGGGATGGGTTCCTAGGGAAATAATACCATAAACTTACATCATTCATTTTTTTTTGAGGGGGGGAAACACAGCTCACTTGGCCCATATGGGGATCGAACCGGTGACCCTGTTGCTCAGCGCTCACGCTCTTAACCAACTGAGTCACTCAGCTGTCCTGCATCATTCATTTTTTGATTGGTTTGGGCAACTGGATTTTCAGAGGTCTGCTGAAGCACATGGGGTTGTAAGATAAGAAGAATGGGTAGTTTCAATTGACTCAAGGCCACAGGATATGGCCAACAGTTGGAGTCAAGAGACATGGTCATCAGGGGAAGGGTGTGTCACAAAGCAGGGGCCAATGCCTCAGTTTCCCTTGGAATCTGCAAAATAATAAAACAAGTTTTGCAGTGAAATGGACAGCACAAAGAATGCAGTTTATCAGGTAGACAGAGTCAGAGTTTAAACTACAAAATGGCCTAGTCACTCGAGCAGGGTCAGAGACCAAATTGCAGAGGGTCCAGATATCGGCCACAAAATTATATTAGAATCCTCAGTACAGATAAAGCACAAGTGACCCTGAACCTCCTTCTATCATTCTAGTGTGTAAACCTTCCTGCTTTTGGATGCATTTACATAACCTAAACATGAACAAGAAGAAAGATAACATTTTGTAGTTAAAAAAGAGTCATATTGAACATTTTCCTCAAAATTTTATTATGAAAATTTGAAAAACTACAGAAGCGTTGAAAGAAGTGTATAGTGAACACTCATATACTTACCACCTCGATTCTTCAATTCTTAACATTTTGCTATGCTTGCTTTATCAGATATCTACCTATCCACCAATTATTTATTTATTTTTAAAAGATTTTTAAAAAAAGATTTTTATTGGGGAATTGGGGGATGGGAACAGCGCTGGNGGGGTCTGGAAAAGAAGATTACTCTGACATTTCAAACATATATTCTCTTAGATGAAAAAAGACAATAGACAGGTTCACTTAAGGTAAATTTGTCAAGGAAACTCCAGTTCTAGGACCCTGACTACCTGCCATGCCCCGCTTTTAGTTAGGAATTTGTATGTTTAGGCCATCCTGTGTGGTTAATTTTGGTCTTCTGAGTTTGTAAGGCCAGCCACACAGACTTCCCTCCCTTGAGCTTGTCAGGTTTAGTATGTGGCCCTTTTTTCCATCCACATAGGTATGGGGCTTCTTTTTAGGGTGATGAAATGTTCTACAACTGATTGTGGTGATGGTCATAGAACTCTGCAAATATACTAGAAACCTGTGAATTGCACACATTAAATGGGTAAATTGTATGGTACATGAATTATACCTCAATAAAGCTGTTACACATTTTAAAATATACTATATAAAAAAGAAAAACAGGTGCAGGCAAAATAAAACGCTACCGTTTAAAAATAATATGTTTAGATATATCTAATCTAGTCGGATACTCAAACTTGGTAACAGTGATGGATGGTGTGGGGGGAACATTGGTGCGAGGGAGATTTAATTCTGGTATGATGTACAATTCAAAGAAGTTAAAGTAATTATTTTTTAAAAAAATTCAAAGGGCATCTGCGCTCAAGTCCCGTCCCCACTGCCCCAGCTAGAATCAGGAGTGGGAGCCATCTCCTCAGGAGTCGGAGCCTTTCCCCCTCCCTCCAGCACCGCCCCCCCCCCCTCGGCTTCCTGGCTCTGCCGGGCTGGCCTCGATGAGCGGACCGGAGATTCCGGGCCTCCGACTGGTGTTCCGCTTACCTGTGGCTCCAAACACCACCACTAGTTTCTGGTCCGCCATGCCAGCCGGAGAGGGGAATTCGGTCCCGAGAAGCCTGGGGGCCGCGGGAGACGCGGAGTGGGCGACCCCGCCAAGGGATCAATCCCGGCGTGCACCGCGTGGAACCGAGGGGGCGGCCAGCCAGGGAAGGTCTGGGCTCCGCTACCCCGGGCCCCACCCTTGGGACTGACACCCCCTACCCGGTCCGTCCCCTGGATCTTCACCCCCACACCCTGTCCTGGTCACCGCGGCCAGCTTCACCCCCTCACCGTGGCCTGGGTGGGAAACGCTCCGGGGAATGGGGACCCCCATTTTTGCAGCCGAGTCCACCGCGGAGGAGGGGGGGAATCTAACCCTACAAGGGACGCCAATCCCCTCCTGCAGCTTCAGCCCTACCCTCACACAAGCCACCCCTTGTCGGTCGCTCTGCGGGAAGGGTCCTCAGGCGACGCTGCTGCTTAACCCCCGCTGTCCGGGCCCTGACTCCGCGCGGAGTTGATCCGTCACCCTCGCCCGCGGGCACAGATGGTTCGTCCCGGCTCGCGCGGGACTCCGCGGAATTTCTGGACCTGTCAGCCCGTCAGCTCCAAGCAAGCGTAAACGGAATTTGCGTAAATCGGATATGGCCGAAATGCACGTACATAGGCTGCTTAGCTAGCAACAGATGAATGCGCGAAGCGCGGAGGGGGACGGACTCTTCGTCTAGCGTGAACATATGAATTTGTAGATATGGGGTGTCACCTAAAGATATTAAATCTATATTCGTGAGTCTTAACCCCCTAAGGCCGAGTTCTTATATGCCTGACTCATGGTTGTGGCTGCTGCTACTTGCACAGATTTGAGTTCTTTTTAACTGAAAAGTGAGATTTCTTTGTTTTCAACTAAAAGTAAAAAATGATGCTCTCACTTCTCCCGAAAACGTATTGCTGATTGGATTAGAACATTCGTTTTTTCATTCATTCCAAAATCTGTATTTACCTATCCAGGAATGTCAGTTTGGGGACAGCAGTCACTTGTCTGTTCAGTGCTAAATTTCCAGCTTCTAAAATAGTACCTGGCATAAAGTAGGCTGATTGACTGGTTGTTTAAACATCTGCGAGGCACTGGAGCTACAAGGAAATCAAACTATAGTAAAACTTGACGCTGTTTTCCAGAATCTGTTGTGGAGATACACCACAAGGTAATGTGTATTTCATTTATGTAAAATAGTGGTCTTTATTTATAAGATGCACATATTTATTTTAATAAATACACATTTATGTTTATTTATAAATGAAGATATCATCTATGTGTTCATCTTGCCTAAATATCTTGTAGTCTCCTCCACACCCTGTTGTGTTATGCCTCTGTGCTCCGACTGTAATGCTTGCCTGGAATACCTTCCTCCCACCTCTTTAGATAGGGTTGACTCCTACTCATTCCTTAAGATTTCACATATCCATCACTTCCTCCAGGAAGCCCTCCCTGACCCCCAACCTAGCTTAACTACTCCTATTTCATTCCCATCTGGCAAAATTATTTCTGCCATATTATTTCACAATTATTTCACATATCCATCACTTCCTCCAGGAAGCCCTCCCTGACCCCCAACCTAGCTTAACTACTCCTATTTCATTCCCACTGGCAAAATTATTTCTGCCATATTAGACTGAGGGCTTCCTGAGAGCTGGCCCCATGTCATGTCTCTGTATTCCTCCTGGCAAAATGTCCAGCACTTAGTAGGAACTCAATAAGCACCTAATAAATGGAACCCAAGTACATATTACTCTGACAAAAGTTGAGGGTTTTTTGGGCCGGCCGAGGGGTGCATTGGTTAAGAGTTGGCTTGGAGGGGCCAGCCGAGTGCGAGCTCTGAACAACAGGGTTGCCAGTTTGATTCCCAGCCGGAGCTGAGCTGCCAACAGGTGGCAGGATGGCTCAGCTAAAAAAAAAAAAAGTTGGTTTGAGACACCAGCCCTGAGCAGCAGAGCCCCGGTTCAGATCCCACATGAGGGCCAGTGACGCTGCACCCTTTACAGCTAAGATGGTGAACAATAGCTCAACCTGGAGTGGGGCTGCCGTGAATCGCCGGCGATGGCATAGGCTGCAGCCCCTGCTGTAGTGGGCTGCCGTGAGCTACTGGAGTGGCTGGCAGCCAGCGTCACTGGCTGGCAGCCGGCGTGAGCTGCTAATGAGCCGCTGTGAGCGGCCCGTCCAGTGGCCAGCAAGCGACTGCCTTACCTGGGAAGAGCGCAATGATAATACCAACATGGGCCAGTGAAGCGACGTCCTCCACAACTAGACT